CCTGCTGAGCCATCTCACCAGCCAGAGGATGAGCATTCTTAAAAACACTCTGTCCCACAGACCCCTCCACACTACACGTTAGTTTCCTTGTGTTTCAAGGACGGTTAGTCTATGCACATCTAAGTCATTTACAGTGCATTCACCTTCTAAACACCAACATTTCTCATTCTACCAGTCAGACTGTTCAAACAGCAAAAAAAGAGCAAAAAGTTAAAATCCTACGACTCCATAGTATTCATGACAATTGGCTTTTTATCAAAACCAACAAAAACTCTAGAGAAGCACTTTAACTCCCACAAACCTCAATTTAATTAATTTATTGAATTTATTTTTGGTGTTGGCAAATGAACTCAAGGCCTCGTGTATGGCAATCAAGTATTCTGTTAACAAGTTCCCAGGCCATGAACTTCAAATTTTTAAAGAGTGAAACAAGATTTTTTTCAACTTTTATAAAAAGCCAACCATTAGACAGAGTAATCTATTTCCAATAACGGTTTTAAAATTCTTCTAGTTTTGGACCCATGATTTTTGCACTAAAATGCAAAATTCTATCCTTTATGGAAAACGGCTCCCAAATGCCCTAAAATACACTATAATTTTTTTTCATTGTATGAAATCTAAAAAAATCAATTTATATTATAGCTGATATGAAATTAGTTCAACAGAATTCATCCACAGAATGAACTTAGGAATGAGTATTTTTCAAAATAGCTTACTGGTTAAGCCTACTTTTGTTAAAATGTTATTAACTTTACATTATGATGAAATATAGCAGCTCATAAACTATTTGTATAAAAAGATGTCTTAAGTCAGTTATGACAATAGGAAAATATTTTAGTTGCTTAAATATAAATTATACTTAGCCTTTGAACTACAGATGCCTGTATCAAAAAAAACAAAAACAAAAACAAACAAACAAAAAAAACTAGACTACCTAGGTCTTTAAAGAACCAATGGCAAAATTTAGAATGAAAAATTACACTGCTCTAGATTTTCATAGAAAAACTTGGTACTATATGCACTTACTCTTCACAATACAGGTTTTCTCTCAACTCTGTGACTGTACGGATTATGCATTCATTCCCGCACTGAACCATTTTACTAATCACATACAGCGTATTGACAGGTGCTAGCAGTGATTATTTCTGTAGGGATTCTAATAGAAGTGGGAGGAACAGTGAGCCAGAACGTATTAAACAGCATTGCACTTAATATCAGTGATGTGTTATCCAGCCCAAGAGAGATTAAATGAGCCAAATGATCTGAACAACTCAAGAGAAGAATAAAATTTCTTCTTTTTAAAAATGATTTGTTTTTATTTTATGTTCACTGGTGTTTTACTTGCATGTGTGTATGTATGTATGTATGTGTGGGGGTGTTAGATTCCCTTGGCACTGAAGTTAGACAGTTGTGAATTGTCATTTGGGAACTGAACAACAGCAGCCAGCGCTCTTAATCACTGAGCCATTTCTCCAGCCCTGTATACAATTTTTATCTTTCAAAACGCAGTAAAAGACCAGGGCACAGCACCAGTCAAGACAGCACAGTAGTTCCGGAATACTCAAAGGTGCGGTACTGAAAGCTGAAGCCACAGCAGTGGACTGCTAGAATCACTGGGGAGATGGGAGGTGCAGGAATAAACATTCTCTCACATTGATGTCTTCCTTCAGGAGAGCTCAGGAATGGTTCTCTTTATTTGAGCTCTACATGACAATTTCATATAATTTCAAATTTACAAAAAATGCTTTACTATCCAGTACAAATGACCCAAGGGGCAGGGAGCAATATAAAACCAATCTTCTGGGCTTGGAGTTTCTATAACTATGTAAAATGTATAGGGTCACACTATGACAAATTAATGGCTTTAAGGAACTTCATTGTTTCTTCAGCTAAATTTACTTCCTATTAATACTGTGGCCAAAAGAAATAAGGTCATTAAAAAAATCACAGTACACTCAAAAAAGCAACTATACATGATTTCAAAAGAAAACCTAGTGTCCTAGTTATTTTCCCTGTTTCTTTTTCTGTTGAGACAGGGTCTCACTGTATAGCACTGGTACTCTGAAGACAGGCTACACTGAACTTAAGGTATTCCTGTTCCTCCCGCCCAGCCTCCAGCATGCTGGGATTACAGGTATGCGCTACAATGCCTGGCTAACCTCTCTTTTTGTTGTTCTTGCTCTTTGTAGGCTGGCCTCAGAGCTAGAGCTCCTCAGCATGAGCCATCTCAGTACTTAGTTACAAATCTGCTCTGCCACACCCACCTATGATTAATTTCTAAAACGCCTTTCTTGGGGCCAATAAATAAAAACTATATAGCAGTAGCATAAAATGTTCACATTATATAAAAATAAACTTTAATTAAAAATGATGAAAATACAAGTTTACTAGCTGGCCTTTTCTTAATGAAACACAGATATAGTATGAACACAAATTTAGAACCTGACACTACAAAGAACCATTGCTTCCTTTCAAAAAATAAACTGTCAACAATTGAAAACCAAGCTAGAAACCCACGACAGTCCTACAAGCAACTTCAAGAGAACATGCGGCCATTAAAAATGCAAGCAAACCTTGGATTCTGACTATCTTAGCTTTTAAATTTCACCTCTGCCATTTCCCTCCTAGATAAGCTACATAAGGTTTTTAAAACCTTAATTTACTTCCAAGTAAACAGTAATAATGAAACTACCTACCCCAAATTTGAGAAAACCACAATGTACTTGTCCTATTCGGTAGGCACACACAAAGTACAGTACTTCTCTACATCACAGTACCTCCCCTGCTTTCGGGGAGAAACCCTAGACCAGAAACTCAAGTGTAGAAAGTACTTTAAACTTACTCCTGAAAAATCACAAGCAAAAAAGCAACAACAAAGAAGCATGATTTAAGTACTGGTCTTAAAATATCACCTTTAAATCCCTTTCTGATCTCATATGAAACATCCTCCCCCTAAAACAGTAAAAGTCTACTTGGGTAATTAAGGTAACAAGAATGATAAATTTTCAATTTACTAGGTATTTAAATTTAACCTGAAAGTTTGGATAATTATTTCTTAGATCAGAAAGCACTGTTATAAAATATGTATGTAAAATCACTACAGAATATTTACTCAAGTCACAGAAAGATACATCTAAATTCAGAATTCTCATTAATTTGTTCCCTGTATCATGCACTACATAATTAAGTTATGTAGGTGCGCTTATATACTATTCTGTAAAACGTAGTGCCCCGAGTGTCAAGAATAAGAAATCTTACCATTTCATTTTGAAACTCTCTGGCCTTTCCAAAAACATGGCAGGTCTCCATCAACATCCACCCTAAATATTCTCTCCTCAGCTCTCTTTCTAGCTAACTGAGCTACTAATAATCGTATCAAAGTAAAACAGGAAAAATCTCTTTTGGAAACTTTGTAACATTAATTTGTAACTAGCGTAGTGCACTGGTATATTTTCAATTAACAACTTAAAACTATTCAATGTTACACATGTAAATACGTACAGCAACTTTTAGGGACTCAGGGTCCAATTCTGTTGGATTAAGGCAAAGTACGCTGCGGTCCCCATTTTGTCATCACCACTTTCACCGAAGAGCACAAACAGAAAAACAAAACACTCCTAAAAACATAGATGAGGCCGACTTCTAAACAATCAGAGGGATACGGAAACTGAACCCTAATTTTGGGGCAACAACACAGTATTAAAAACAGAGGGTCCCAACTGAAACTGTAAGCCAAGCACCGCGGGCGGACATTTCCAGAGGGCACCACATTCATCTGCCAGTCAAACCTAAGTTTGAAAGATGGCAGTGTTTTCCAGGAAATACTCAAAATGCACAGCGTTCGTCTCACATTACTCGCCCCTGGGTATGAGGGCCCCACGGTCGCCAAAGAACACGGGCAAGACTCGGACTTCAATGATCAGATTTCGCATCACCAATGTGCGAACTTGAGTCGGGCACCTGGTCCCGCTGCTGTCACAGCATTTAACACTCGGTAAAGGGAGTTGCACACCCGCTCTCCCTCCTCAGAGTTGGTCCTATCAGAGAGACGGGATGTCACCAAATCTGCCCCAAGGGGAGCAGCAGCCAAGTTGAGCAGAAAAGAACTCCGGGGCATGACGGGGGAAGGTGCCTTTGTGAACAATACTGCCTTCCGGGGAACGCGGGAGCAGCAATTAAAAAAAAAACAACCAAGTCCTAATGAGAAAATTAATAACAGAAAAGGAATGGTGGGGCGGGGGGTGGAGCAAAGGAGCGGGAAGCGCAGCCTGCGACCTGCAGAGGGAAGGAAACACCCTGGAGGACCAGGAAGCACTTCGCGTCGGGGAGGAGAAACTGCAGGGAAAAGTGAGGGTCGGCAAAGCCGCTCTCCCCGCCCGCCCGCCCCGTGACAGCCCCAGGCCGGGCGGCGCCGCTCGGCCGCCCCGCAGCCAGCCCCGAGGCCGGGTCCCCGCGCCGCCGCCCCCGCCCGGCTCCGCTTCCTATTTTCGGAGCACACACCCTGCGAGGCGCGGAGGGGCCCGGCCTCGCGGAAGCCGCTCGCTCGGGAGGCGCAGGCGTGCGGCCCACCACCGGAGCCCGCCCGGGCACAGGCGCCAGC